CATTGTTTCCCACACTTTGGTTTTTTGCAGGGGCTAAATCTCTTTTTTTGGATGGGGTTTTGGCTGAATCCTGATCTTTGGGGAGTTTTTGATCTGTGTCTTTATATTTGGAGGATTTTGGGGCTGAATCTTTATGTTTTGGGGGTTCTTACAGACACAAGATGCTCAATGACTTCCTGAGATGAACTTGGGAAAGGAGCAGCCCCCAGGCAAACATGCTCTCCTTTTGTTTTTCCCCAAAACAGGATTTGTCATTCCCAAGGCATTGCTAGATGGAGGAGGAGGAAAAGAGAGCCCAAATGAGAAGGGGCTGCAAACCCAACCCAGGAAGCTGCAGGGTGGAAAGACTCCCCCTGTGCTGTGAAGGTGGCCAGCAGTCCAGTCGGAGCTCAGAGCTCGTTGAGAAACCTCATGGCGAGAAGAAGCCCCACAAGCGCTTGGAATGTGGGAAGGGCTTCAGCTACAGCTCCGACCTGATTCGGCACCAGGTGATCCACACTGGGGAAAAGCCCTACAAGTGTGGGGAATGTGGGAAGAGCTTCAGCCACAGCTCCAACCTGATCCAGCACCAGAGTATCCACACTGGGGAAAAGCCCTATGAATGTGGGTAATGTGGGAAGAGCTTCAGCCAGCACTCCCACCTGATGCAACACCAGAGGATCCACACTGGGGAAAAGCCCTACGATTGTGGGGAATGTGGGAAGAGCTTCAGGAACATCTCTGGTCTGATTGAACACCAGGTGATTCACACAGGGGAACAGCCCTATACCTGCTTGGAATGTGGAAAGAGCTTTGGGCAGTTGTCCAACCTGAGAAACCACCAGCGCATCCACACTGGGGAGAGGCCCTATGAGTGTCCTGAGTGTGGGAAGAGGTTTCAGTCCAGCTGCAATCTGCTCCTACATGAGCAGATTCACACAGACGAGAGAGGCCCTTCCGCTGCCCCGACTGCGGGAAGGGCTTCAACCGCAACTCCAAGCTCACTCTCCACCGGAACATCCACACTGGGGAGAGGCCCTATGAGTGTCCCCAGTGTGGGAAGAGTTTCTCACAGAGCTCAACCTTGACCCAACACCAACGGAGACACCAGTAAGGGAAGCCCTGCGAGTGCCCCAAGTGCGGGAAGAGCTTCTTGTGGTGCTCCAGCTCCATCACCCATGGGAGGATCCGTATTGGATGATCCCCAGTGACCCCCATTGGGCAGAGCCCTGGTGATCCATGTTGGGAAGACACCTGGCTGGGGAGAGTCCGCATCTTCCTGTCTCCCTGTGGGGACCTGGATGAATGCAGGAGTAGGAACATCCATCAGGATGCAGACCAACAATGGGAATTCCTTGGCGAGGGTAGATCTGTTGACTTGCAACCCGAAAAAGTCTTTTGCATTCAGTCATATCTTCTGGTGGCATCAAGGAATACTGGATGGTCTTGGAGGTAATTTCCAACTTCTGTGATTCCAGTGTTAATTTCTTATTGCCCAAGGGTGTCTTTCACAGCCAAACAGTGATGAACTGGGTCAAAGACCAGCAGTTTACAGACAGTGGTGTGGAAACCCCTCCAAAAGAGGTTCTTCCCATGCATCCAAGTACGTGGACCTTCAGCCAGCACAGACACTGGAATCCTTTTCTTTTGGCCTTGATTTGCTTTTCATTTATTTTTATCTCTTTAAAATATCCAACTTTTGGTTTAAGAATAAAGACACTGAACTAAGAGATGGGTTGGGATGTTGAGGGACATAGACATGGAGAGTGACGTGGGGACACATGGACATGGATGTGGCCATTCATGGAGACACGGGGGTACACGGGCACAGATGGAGACGTGGGGGACAATGCCAGGGATGGAAACATGGTGGGGACACAGCCATGGGTGAGGACATGGTGGGACATGGCCGGTGACATGTGGGGACATGGCCATGGCCGCTGCCATGGGGGGAACTGGCAGGGGCTGTGGGGGATGCTGTGTTTGAGGGAGTTGAGGGTTCCTGGCAGGGACTTGGGGCTTGCTGAGGGCTTTGGGGAGCCCAGGCCAAGCGGCTGTGGCTGCGTTGGGAGACCCTGATGGACCCCCTGGCCTGAAGCCCCAGCCGGGTATTGAGCTCCTGGAAAGGAATGAACATCCTTGTCCCCAGGAGGGCAGTTCTAGCACTCCTACGGTGTCTGGGGCACCTGGGAGGCCAGAGCAGGGAGGGGAGAGCCAGACAGCTGTCCCCCTCCACAATTGCATCACAAAAATCACCAAACTCAGAGATTCCTCCCAGGAAAAATCTGTCAGGAGCTGACCAAATTGAGTGAAAAGGGGGATGGGACCCCTAGACTGAGGAGGAGGGGCCTGGAACCCCCAAAACCAAGCACAGGGGACAGGGGTGGTGGATTGGGGGGCAGTGGAGAAGGGGTGGAAGGGTGGGGGAAAGAGCGGTCCCACGCCTCCTTTCTAAACCCACCTCCTCTTTTCTCAGTCTCTTCTCCCACTCCTTCCTCTGCTCTGCTCCTCCATCCCTTCTGCTTTCCTCAGACCCAGTGCCCACCATTACCCCCTCATTTGCCCATTGCCATCACATCCCGCTGGAGCTGGGATAGAGCTGGAGCAGAGCTGGGCTTTTGGCCTGGCCTGGGCACCCTTCATGCATGCCCTCCCCAAGTTTCCCTGGTGGCTTCAAGGGGTCCCGGTGACTTTTGGGGTTTGCTGGGTGTCATTCTGGGGTTCAAGTGCCTCCCATGGAGTGGGACATGGTGGGGAACATATGGGATCCCCATTCCTGATCCATCCCAGATATGGGTTCCCCCCCCATCATGGCCACCCTTGCAGCGTCCCCCAACTCCCTCCCCACTGCCCCCCAATAAACGGGACCGGGGCGAACAGGAAGCTTTATTTGGAATACTGTGAGCAGCGGGCATGGGCAGAGTGACAGTGGGGCTGGGATGGACACATGACCACCCCAAAATCAGCGGGTGATGGAGCAGGGGGTCCTGGCCGGGCCTGAGACCACGGGGAGGGGCTGCTGCCCCTGCCGGCTCAGGAGCTCTGTGGGCAGAGAAAAGGGGGTGACACCAGGCTGGGGGTCCCTGGAGGGAGCACACATCCCACTGGCCCCCCGACAGGTGAGCTCACAGCACCACCAGTACCACCAGTATGGTCCCAGCTCCCCCCACATGCCCCATCCCCAGTGCCAGGCAGGGGCCACCAGCCCCAAAGCAGCCGCGCTGGGCAGGGGTGGGGAGGGGGGCTGCGGTCCCACCCCATGAAGAGCTGGGAGCACTAGTCGAGTCCAGTTTGAAACGTGGGCAGGCAGCATCAGAACCCCCAAAATTGGCAAAAAGCATTAAGGATTCTCCCAAGAGTCACCTCCACACCCTAAACTTACTGGGAAACCCCGCAAAGCCCTTTATAACCCCCCAAAACTGATAGAAAGCAGCAGGATCTTCCCTAATACAGGCTCCTCAGGTCCTTCCATGTGGGGCCCCACTCCAATGTCAGACCCAGGTGCCTCCCATCTCCCAGTTACTCATCCCTCAGAACTGGAAGGTGCCCCAAAACCTCCTCAGTAACCAGATCACCCCAAGCTCTTCATCCCAAGTGTGGCTGTCTCATTGCAGACCCCATCCCCCATATCCCTGTTGGGTGGGGGGGAAGATGTTGGAGAGATTTCTCTCCTTTCTCCTTTGGTCCTGCTGTGAATAAATTCACTCCCTGTGCCCAGGCTGGGTCTGTTGTGTCCGTGCCAGTGCTGGGACCAGGATTCCTCTGTGTCCTTCTCTCAGCTCCTGGGCCTTTCCTTGTAGTTCATGTCCCTGTGCAGTTGCAGAGGGCAGGGACAGAGAGTTTTTGGTGGTTCCCAGCATCCACGCAGGGCCAACCCAGCCCCGGGGGTCCTGAGGGCTTTGTGGGGCTCCCCCATTTGCGGGACATCCCTGCTGGAGGAGGGTGTCCCCCCTTGGTGCAGCCCCAGCCCTCAGGCAGGGCTCAACCAAGCAGAGAACGCCCTCACCTGGGGCCTCATTTTTGGGCACACCTGAGCCCCTGGACATCTGGATACCCATTTTGGGGTGTACCTGAGCTGCTGGATATCTGGGTGCCTGTTGTTTGCTCTGTATTGGGTTTGCACAGCCTCATTTTGGTAGTTGGGTTTTCTACAGGACTAGGTTCTTAGAGAAGGTTTGTGAAGTTTCCTCTGTATCCAGCAGATCCAGTCCCTGGTGGCTCCAAAAATGGAGGTATTGGATGCAGAGATTCACAGGGACGGAGATCCACCCACAGCCCCTGGAGAAGCCCATGGTGGAGCAGGGCAATGCCTGAGATGAGGCTGTGACACCTGTGGACAGAGGGGCCCCTGCTGGAGCCGCCTGTCCTGGAAGGACTGACCCCGTGGCAGTGACCCACGCTGCAGCACTGTGAGGGGGCTGCTCCCCATGGGAGGGACTCAGGTTGGAGAAGTTCCTGGAGAAGTCTCCAGTGGGAGGGACCCCAGGGTGCAGCAGGGGAACAACTCCTGTCCCTGAGCAGCGGGAAAAGCCCCGGGGATGAAGTGACCATGGCTCCATTCCCTGTGTTCCTGCACTGCCGGGGCAGGAGGCAGAGCTGGAAGGAGGGAGGGGTGGGGTAAAACTGGTTTTAAAGGTCTTCATATACTTCTCATGACCCTGCTCTATGTTTTTGATGTTTTCTGCCAAAAATCTTTCTCCTCCCCTATTCTTTCACAGGGATTTGGGACAGTTTTCTGTTTCTGGGGAGAATTCAAAGCGATGCACTGATGCTCCTAATTAAGGGGTAGGACAAGTGAGCCTGAAGGACTTCCCGCTGAGCCGGAGACGCTCAAGACCAGGGACCGGGTAAGGCGGGCCGGGAGGTGCGGAGAACTTTGTTTGTTGGGAGATCAATGGCGGCGCGGGCCGGGCCCGTTCCAGGCCTGTTCCTCATCCCCGCCTTTCCCCTCACGCAGCCCGGGGCGGGCCCTGAGAGCGCGGGGCGGGGCTGTGCCGTGTGCAGAGCCCGCCGCTGGCTGCGATTGGCTGCTTCTGCCGTCACTCGTGGTTCTGGCGCGCGCTGATTGGGCAGAGCGGGGACAAGCCCGGCCCCGCTGGCGCCCCCAGGGCGGCCGTGGGGCAGGAGAGCCGCCATTGCCGGAGCGTCTGTGCGGGCCCGGCAGCGGCGGCAGCAGCGGCCGGAGCCCGGTGAGGCGGCGGCGGAGCTCGGAGGCGGCCCCGGCCATCGCAGGTGGGAGCCGCGCTCGGTTCTGCGGGGGCTCGGGGCTCGCTGCGGGCCCGGGAGGGGGCGGCAGGGGGCTGTGGCGGGTGGCTTGTGCCGTGGCCGGCCCGTGTTGGCCCTGGGCTGAGGGCGCTGCGGGAGCGGCTGCCCGCGGTCTCCTTGCCGCTGGGGCCTCGGCAGGAGGCGGTGGCGGAGCAGCGCTGGCTCGTCCCGCTTCGTGTCGGGAGGCCGGAGGTGGCTGCGCTGGGCCCGGGGCTGGGCGGGAAAATTCCCGGCGCCAGAGGTTTGTGTGGCCAAAGGAGGCAGAGGAGTGGTGTGCGAGTGACTTTATTGCTGCCCAAAGGGAGAGGCCATGGGGCATTTGCCATGCGCTCTCTCCAGTTGTTGGAGGACGCGGCCTCGTTTTTGTCCTGATTTTCCCGGCCGCATGTCCCTGTCCCTTTGCCCAACACTGGCGGAGGTGCTTGGAAGGTTCAGCCTTCCCGATCCGCCTGCTGCATGTCTTTTTTTATGTAACACCCGATATTCCTGGCTCTGTGAAGTGTTTGTTCTTCTGGAAGTTCAGGAATGTATCGGGACTTTGTCTGAGCAGCAGTCCTTGTCAATTAGTAACATTTTCTGAAACTGATGGTTTCTCTCACTGCTTTCTTATATACAAGTCCCGGCTCTATCTCCAAGTAGATTCACAGCATCTGTGTTTAAGGACATATTATTCTGTTCAATCTCTCTTCTAATTTTCCCAGTCTTTGCAAACTTTAATTACCATTGACTCAGCCTCTTTTCCTAGGTCTTCTTTAGTTTTAGGATTGCTGTCAGTGCCCTCATTCTCTGTCCTTTTGTAGCCGTTTGTGGCTCAGGAGGCCTGGCTGCCACCTGCATCCCCTTGCTCAGCTGCTGAATGAGCTGCACTCAGCAAGGTGTGGTGCATGGTAAAAAGATGAGAGTTGCTGTAGCACATGAGAAGAGAAACAGCATTTGTTTAACTCATGGTATGCCAGGGAACTGTGAAAACCTCGCCAAAAAGGTGGAAAAATCACCTTTTTGGTGTAATTTAAAAAGTTTTAGAAAAAGGAGATTAGGAGACAGAAACAATGCAAAATGAACAAATGTGCCCCAGTGTTTCTGCATTTAAGCAACAGCACACCTTACTAACAAAGGATTGTCCCTTTAAAACCCTAGTCTCTTGCATATTCTTAGATTTTTATGCATGATTCAAACATTTCTGTTAAGGTTTAGGTGTTCTTTTGTTCAGTTCCAACTTCCCCCTCCCCAACAGATAAGCTTCTTGGCTCTATTGAGTCTTACACTCTCTGTTAACTGAGATGCAATAAATTTTTCCCTTGGAGCTCTTGTCACTGCTTTCTTCATCTGGATAATTTAGGAATGTGGGGAGGGGGTTCTGATTATATTTTCATTTTCTGGGTTATATGAACAAATACAGTCTTTATTTTAATTGTATACTACAGCTTAAAAAATATATCTGTATTACACCACTATTTTTAAGTTTCATGAGTAGGAGAAATAAAATTATATTAATACAGCAAAGTTTTCCAAAATTATACATAAAATATTCATTTTAATATTTGCAAAAATCCAATAATGTAATATGTGTCTATAAAAGAAACATGGAAATGTGTCCCATTCCCATGCTTTCCATGTTTGGACTGATACATGAGCTGCTTTCTTATTTTTTTTTTGGTTATCTATTTTACCACTTTTCTGTTCTCTTATCTTTGCCAACAGCAGTTTGAGTCATTTAAGTTTCCACAAACTGCCTCCTTTTTCTGCTAAAAGATAATCTGATCCCATCCCATGGTGAAATGTTGCATTCCTCATCTGAGTAGATTGGTCGGGAAGGTCAGGAGCTGGAGGTGTCTGGTTGGGTGTTATTTTGAGGACATCCTGTAATCTAATTATGCCAGTGAAATGATAAATGGGTTCTCTGGCTCCTGATATGAATTCATCAGGGTTCCCAGGGGCTGGTTCATGGTGTTGCAGGATTTGTTCTGGTGGCTGTTCATCATTTCCCCATTTTTTGGCTCTCAGAAGCCAGGGCTGCATCAGTTTTTGGCTTTTCTCTAATTAAATCATCACATACTTGGATTCCCAACTGATTTCACTGAACTTGTGGTAGGAAATAAATGCCACTGGTCTAAAACACTCTATATCATAGACAATACCAGCACATGTTGGAGTGGGTAGAGGGATGATTCTCCCACTGAAACAGAGAAATTAAGAATTAGGAATCAAGTACAAGTAAATGATTCGACTAAAAGAAGAGGGCCCCCAAAACCATATGAAATACTTACTGCTCCCACAAGAGCAGGAAGAGAGCGAGACTACAATGTAAGATAAGGAGCTAGAATGTGGAAACAGGATGCAGAGACAAAGGCACTACAGGATAAGGGAATTTTCTGGACCCCTAAGCCAGGAGAAATGGTGTCAAAGTCCAAAAGATGGTCAAAGGACTAAAAGGAGCATGTGCAAGGAGACAAGGTGAAAAGTTCAGCTGAGAGGAAGATCACTGACTTCATCCCAAAGACCCCAAGACGACCCCCAGTAGCAGTGCGCAGCCTCAAAGAGGTGTGGAGCTAATTTTAATATGAAGTGGGGACAGGTGGTGTTAGGAAATTAATATGTATTAGGTGTACTGTGTAACCCTGGTTTGTATAGAATAAAAAGAGAGGGGCAAGTCTCTGGAGTGTGCATGTTTTTGGAGGAGCTACTGCTCATGTACCTCAGCACTGAATAAATACATACCTAGTCTTATAACTTACTCTGTGGGTTATAGAGTTTTCTTTCCATATATCAAAGTGAGGGCTGGAATGAGGTTGGATGTGCTGGAAAGAGACTGAGAGGGATCTTGGTGAGTCCTGGTGAGGCTGGAAAAGGACTGGGAGAGGGTTTGGGGGTCTTGGGGCAGTGGGGGGCAACTGACAGGGGGCTGTGGAATCCTGAGTGGGATTCAAGAGGCTTTGGTGGGTCATGGGGAGGCTGGGAAGGGACTGGGAGGAGGTTTCAGGCAGTCCTGGATGGGCTGGAGGTAATTGGGAGGGGGCTTGGAGGGGCTTGGGGTGTCTGTGAGAGATTTTTGGGGATCCTGACCCCTGCAGACCCCCCAGAGATGTTATCAGATGCCACCTGCAGCAAGATGCTGATGGGGATTGGGGGCTTCGGCTTCTACCTGTGCAAGAAAGGAGAAGGGGTCCAGGGCTTGTGTCCTCCCTTCCCCGGAGTGTGTGTGCTCTCCTGGGGCTCCCCAGCCTGGTGTCACCCCATTTTCTCTGCCCACAGAGCTCCTCAGCTGGCTGCCGCAGCCCCTCCCTGTGGCCTCAGGCCTGGCCGGGACCCCCCGCTCCAACCCTGTGCTGATTTTGGGGGTGTCATGTGTCCCCCCAGCCCCGCTGTCACTCTGTCCCTGCCTGGCCCTCCCAGTGTTCCCAATAAAGCTTCCCAGTTCACCCCTGTCCCGTTTATTGGGGGGGGATCCTGTGGGGGGGTTTGAGATTGGGGGGACCAAACGGGGCATGGGATGGATCGGGAAATTGGACCCCCATGTCTGCCCCCTGTGTCACCTCACTCTGGGGATGGCCTCACGAGGCACCTGAACCCCAACGCAGCACCCAGCAAACCCCAAAAGGCGCCAGGACCCTCAAGCCGCCAGGGGAATTTGGGTAGGGGGCGCGTGGCGGGCACCCACGCTGGGTCAAGAGCCCAGCACTGCCTCGGCCAGACCTGCCCTGGCTTCAAACTAGCTCCTCCCACGGGATGCATAGGAATTGGGAGAAGGCGGGGGTAAGGGTGGGTGCTAGACCCAGAGGGAGCAGGAGAAGGGATGGAGGAGGAGGAGGGGGGCAGAGGAAGGAGCAGGAGATGGGCTGGAAAGAAGAGTAGAAGGAGGTGGGATTCGAAAATTGGATGAGCGGGAGGAGCCGGAGGAGGAGGAGTGGGAGGAAGAGGAGGAGCAGGAACAGGAATAGCAGCAGGAATCCTGCCCCTGTGTTCATCTCGGTGCCCACGGGGAGCCAGGAAGACGAGAAGACCACGAGTCAGGTGTCTTCCCAACACGGATCACCAGGGCTTAGCCCCATGGGGGTCACTATGGATCATTCAATGCCAATCCTCCCATGGGGGATGGAGCTGGAGCAGTGCATGAAGCTTTTCCCACACTCAGGGCACTTGCAGGGCTTCCCTTACTGGTGTCTCCATTGATGTTTGGCCAAGTGAGACTTCTGTGAGCAGCTCTTCCCACACTTGGGACACTCGTAGGGCCTCCCCCCTGTGTGGATGCACCAGTGCCTGACAAGGTGGGCATTTCACTTGAAGCCCTTCCTGCAGTCGAAGGGCCCCTCCTCTGTGTGAATCTGCTGATGTACAAGGAGAGAAGCTGATCTGAAATTTCTTCCCACATTTGGGACACTCAGCTCCACCTGAAGCTCTTCCCACATTGCCCACACTCGTAGGGCTTTTCCCCAGTGTGGATCCTCTGGTGCTGGATCAGGTTGGAGATGTAACTGAAGCTCTTCCCACATTCCAAGCACTTGAGCTTCTACCAGGCCTGAGACTTGTCCCCCAGCTCTGAACTCCAACTGGATCTCTGGCTGCCGTCCTGGCGTAGTGATGTCTTTCATCCTTGCAGCTCCCTGGACTGGGTTTGGAGCCCTTCCTTGTGTGGGATCTCCAGGGCATTTCCTCCTCCTCCATCTGGCCACAGCTTGAGAATGGCAAATCCTGTTTTAAGGGAAAAACAAGTGGTGAGTGCCTTGGGCTGGGACCTCCTACCCAGGTCCAGCTCTGGAAGTCTCCATATCCATAAAAACCACACACCACAACAGTTCAGGTGCTGCCTGGCAACTGATGAGTCATCAGAGGGCTGTGCTCTGATTGGCTGATGGGAGGCAGCTCCACATACGCTGAGATGGACTGGGTGAGCCCTGGGAGCCACTGAGAGGGACAAGAGGCCCCGAGGGATGGGCACAAGGAGGGCTGAGGGCTCTGGGTTGATTCCCAGGGAGGTT